ATTCGACAGACAAGTCATAAATAACATAACAGACCTATAAAAAATTTTAGAACTCGAATCCAACCCCGATAACAATAAAAGTCAATTTGTGGTCAAACTTTGAAATTTTTAAGCCTTTAGGCTTCTAGTGTTCGCCAACTGGCGATAATTCAAGCTAGGGACCTCTAAATTAAATTTTGGGCATACGCCCAAGTCCCAAATCATAATACGGACCTACCAGAACTGTTAATACACTGATCCGAGTCCGTTTGCTCAAAATGTTGACCAAAGTCAACTCAATTGGGTTTTAAGGCCCTATTTCACATTTTAACCCATTTTTCACATAAACATTTTCCAGAAAATTATACGGACTGCACACGCAAGTCGAGGAATGATAAATAGTGCTTTTCAAGGTCTTAGAACACAGAATTAATTATTAAATTTAATGATGACCTTTTGGGTCATCACAAAAAGTTACCAACTTTATCTTCTGGTTTATACTATTCAAAAATTAGTACAGTTGAAGCACACTTTATCGTAAACTAGAAGTTTGCGGATTCAAATACTTTTATGCTTTGGCATGGCCGTTTGGGCCATCCTGGATCAATAATGATGAGATGAATTACTGAAAATTCGAGTGGGCATTCATTAAAGTACCTGAAGATTCTTACAAATAATGATTTTTCTTATGATTCTTGTTATCAAAGCAAAATGATCACTAGACCATCACCAATGAAGGTTGGCATTGAATCCCCTGCCTTTTTAGAATGTATACATGGGGATATATGTGGACCCATTCACCCACCAAGTAGGTTGTTTAGATATTTTATGGTCCTAATATATGCATCTTCAAGATGGTCTCATGTGTGCCTACTATCATCTCGCAACCTGGTGTTTGCAAAGCTATTAGCCAAAATAATTCGATTAAAGGAACAATTCCCAGATTATCCTATAAAGGCTATTTGTCTTGATAATGCTGGAGAATTCTCATCTCAAGCTTTTGATGATTATTGTCTATCAGTTGGGATAAAAGTTGAACATCCTGTAGCTTATGTTCATACTCAAAATGGTCTTGCAGAGTCATTTATTAAACACCTGCAATTGATAGCAAGACCACTACTTATGAAAATAAAATTGCCCACTACTGTTTGGGGCCATGCTATGTTGCATGCAGCATCACTTATTCGTCTCAGACCGACACATTATAATAAATATTCTCCATCATAATTAGTTTTTGGTCATGAATGAAATATTGCATCTACGAATTTTTGGATGTGTTGTATATGTGCAAGTAGCACTACCACAACGCAGTAAGATGGGCCCCTAAAGAAGGTTAGGAATATATATTGGGTTTGAATCACCCTCTATTATTTTCTATCTTGAACCATTGACGGGAGATTTATTTGCTGCTCGATTTGGAGATTGTCGATTTGATGAAACAAATTTTCCGCAATTAGGGGAAGAGAAAAAGGAAATCAAAAGAGAAATTATGTGAAAAGTTTCATCATTATCTCACTTTGATCCACGTACCCCTATATGTAATCCGGAGGTCCAGAAGATCATCCATTTACAAAATATAGCAAATCAAATACCAGACGCATTTACTGATTTGAAAAGGATAACTAAATCACATATCCCTGCAAAGAATGTGCCTATCCGAATTGATGTCTCAACAGGACTATCTACTAGCATGAGAGCTAGTGAACCTAAAGCACGCCTGAAGCATGGTAGTCCTTTGGGTTCAAAGGATCGAAATCCTAGAAAAAAAAAATTGATAAATGATCAAAATGACACTATGAAGGGATCTCCTGAAGATACCCAAGATCTGATTAGTTCTGAGATTTCTGAAGAAAACAATGAACCAGAGACTCAAGTGAGTGATGAACTTTTAATAAGTTCTACTAGTGATGTGATTAATTTAAATCGATTTGAAATAGCGGTGGATAATATTTTTGCATATAATGTTGCGCTTAACATTATGCAAGATAGTGAGAATCTTGAACCCTGATCTGTCGAAGAATATCGACAAAGATCTGATTGGCCAAAATGGCAAGAGTCAATTCAATCGGAATTGAAGTCACTTGCTAAAAGAGAGGTCTTTGGACCAGTAGTCCAAACACCTGATGGTATAAAGCCAGTTGGTCATAAATGAGTTTTTGTGCGAAAAAGGAATGATAAAAATAAATTTGAAAGATACAAGGCTCGCCTTGTCGCACAAGGATTCTCACAACGACATGGAGTCGATTATGAAGAAACATATTCACCCAGTATGGATGCCATAACATTTCGATATCTCATCAGTTTAGCCTTACGTGAAAGGCTTGAAATACATCTAATGGGTGTGGTTATAACTTATCTGTACGGGTCACTTGATAATGAAATTTACATGAAAATTCCTGAAGGATTTAAAATTCCTGAAGCATATACAAAATCTCGGGAAATGTACTCAATCAGATTACAAAGATCTTTGTACGGTTTAAAGCAATCTGGGCGCATGTGGTATAATCGCCTCAGTGAATATTTGCTGAAAGAGGGTTACATAAATGATGTTATTTGTCCAT